GGTTGGTTGTGATGTTGCTCGCTAGCGCTTTTGCCCCTCCCCCTTTCAGGTAACGAGCCAGGAGCCCGGAGAGTCGCCGGTTGATGGCGACGCACATTAGCTTCAGCCGTTTATTTTAGTTATATTTTTCTTTTGAACTCCACTGTAAACTTTTGTTAGACATTTGAGAGTTTATTCTAGAAGTTGTAAAGGCTGTGTGCCTTAATTCCTTTTATTCAGACATTTGTATTTGAGACTTGTTGAGAAGTTTCAGTTTATTCATTTCAGACATTGACTTGTAGTTCTGTATGTTAGATGATAAAATATTAATTTGATCTCTATTAATTCATCAGTTGACTCTCGTATTATCTTTTACTTGTTTTTGCACCTACACCTGTTATTTGACTCTACTAGAGAGATAGTAATTGTGATGGTGAAACATGTTATTGTACGGTGTGATGCATGGCAGGTTTGACATTCTTAGTTTTACCTTGGACTGCAGCTTTGTGTGAACCTAGGGGCGTCACATGGACGCGTTATAGTCTCATGAGGGTTTGCAGTGAAAATGCCCACAAAATTCGGTTAACTTATCAATTTAAAGAGGTCAGTAAATAACTAAAATTACTTGATGAAATTAGACAATCTAATTGAAGCTAGTTATTACTCAAGAAAATGTTTTTATATATAACTCTAAAGTGAATTTTCTAGAAAATTTTCTCATTATTGCAATACAAAACCAAGCCAAACTTAGAAATTTAATTTAAAAGTTTTGAAAAGAACATGCTAACTCTTTGTTTAAAATAATATTCAATTTGCTTGATCAGAAATATTTTTCAAGGCCATATATACTATATATATATAACATTTGTTAGTATTTTATTATTATTATTATTAAATTTTTTTAACTCTTTCTTCCTTGATGATTTTTTTCTACTTTAATGGACTTTCTAAGTGATCATTTAACGAGTTTTAGGCCAATGGATCCCAACCCAATTGGGCTTAGGTCATTAAGTATGCAAATACTCCTTGAGCTTAATTACTCGGTCAGGTTAGGCTTTATAAGATAGAATCACCTTAAATTCAAGAGTTTTTTTATGCCCATTTTCCGTACTCTTCCTTTGTAATGATATTTTATTATTATTATTATTATTATATGTATATATATTCTAAAAAATATGTAAATCAAGACACTTTGAAAAATTATTTTCAACTCTAAGCTAAGCAAGCAAAAATTTTATTATTTTAAATAAAAGTCCAAGTTAAGCCTTAAGTAAAGTATACTACTTTGAAAATCATTTCTTAAGAAATTTATTTAGAGTTATCATAAAAGGTGAACTTAAGTAAATAACCAAATAGGGATTAGAAAATTTCAAATTTATCACATAAATCAATTATTACTTAACTCTATCAATTTGGCAAGTGATAATATTTTTATAATTTTTTAAAGAAAAAGAAATCAAAAATACAACTAAAAAGGTAAAATAAAGAGGAAAAAATAACTAATTCCCACCCCCACACCTAAATTTTACATTGTGTTCAATGCATGATGCACAAAGTAAAGCAAATAAGAAGTGAAGTACTTACAATTGGTCAGCTGACAATTTATTTATTTATATATATATATTTTCTTTTCTTTTTCTTTTTTTTTTCAAATTTTTTTCTTTCTTTTTTTCGATTTTTTTTCTTTTTTACAAAACTGAACAAGAAACTCTAAAATGAGAGAAGATTTTATTATGTTGAAATAAACAAAATAAACAATGTAGAATGAAATATTCAACATGAAGAGTTCCTGTTCTACATTGAATCCTACCTTACTGTTGAAAATTCTTCCCCGGATTTTAAACAAATTCAGAATGATATAATCAATAATATGAATTTTTAAGCATTTCGGGGTGTTCCATAATTCTTGCAACAAGGTAAGGTAGGTATTATTGGTGTCATGCATTTTGTATTCCTTAATGAACTTAGACTCTTGTACTGTGAAGTTTTGTTTTCTAACAACCAATTCTTCTGTGAAGTTCTGAAAATTTGGTTGTTGATTATTCTCCAAGAATCTAAGTTCATCAAGAAAGAGTTCTTCAAAATTTAATTCAAAGCAGCACATGTTTAACACAGTTTTATTATTCTCAAGGACCTGATCTGCTTCTTCTAAAAACTCTAACTCTTCATCAAAAATTTCCTCAAAACTTAAATCACACTCTTCTTCTTCTTCTTCTTCTGATCTTTCCTGAATGTAGTTTATTTCTAGAGGCTGATTATTTGGTTGGTCCCCTGGATTAAAAATGTTGAGATCAGCAGTCAAATTCCCAAAGGACAGCTTCATTTGACCAGTTCTACAGTTGATGAGAGCATTAGAAGTGGCTAAGAACGGTCGTCCTAAGATGACAGGTGTCTGTCCTTTGGGATTGGAAACAGGCTGTGTTTCCAAGACTACAAAATCTACTGGAAAAATAAAATCTCCAACCTTAATCAGAACATCCTCTAACTCACCCATAGGGACCTTGACAGATCTATCAGCCAACTGTAAGGTGCATTTGGTTGGGTTCAGTACACCTAGACCCAATTGCTGATAGACTGAATATGGAAGCAAATTGACACTGGCCCCTAAGTCTAAAAGCGCCTTATCAATGTGAGTATTACCAATGATACATGAAATGATGGGGGAACCTGGATCTTTACGTTTCAAAGGTATGGGATTTGACAGCATTTCACTGATATTGGCGGCTAAAAAGACTTTCTTTGGAACATTTATTCTCCTCTTCTTAGTGCACAATTCTTTTAAAAATTTAGCATAAGATGGAATTTGTTCAATTACATCTAAGAGAGGAATGTTGACCTTAACCTGCTTGAATGTCTCTAGGATTTTCTCCTCCTGAGGAGAGTGTTTCCTAGACCTGAGTCTATCTGGAAAGGGAGCAACCGGTCTAAATCTATCAAAAGCAGGCTCAGGTTCGGGTTCAGGTTCTTGGTCATCTGAGGGGAGTGATTGTTGAATAGATTCATCAGAAGGAGAAGGAGAAGGAATTTGTACAGGATCAAGAGTTTGACTTGGCGGAGTTCTCACTTGATTATCGACCTGTCTACCTGACCGAAGTGAATGGATTGCATTCACTTCCATCGTCCGCGGATCCTCTGTCGCTGCGCCCGACTCCTCCTCCGCCCCGACTCCTCCTTCCGCCGCCGCTCCTCCATCGGCCGTCCGTCGATGACTCCTGAGGTTTATTAAGGTTTATTAAGTCAAAACTGCTAATCTTTTAGATATTTTATCTAACACCTCTTTCCTGAGGTCTTCTGCTCTATGCATTTGTAAGCTAATACTTTTTTCTTTAATTGCAGTCTGATGGCAATGGGTCAGATGTAGACAAGGACAAGGATGATGGCTGATCAAAGGCCAACAAGGTAATATTAGGTGAAGTAAACTTGTGCTTATTGGAAAAATTTATTCCCTTTCCTGTCTTCAGTATTCTTACTTGCATTCAGGCCAACAAGGAAGAGGATGACAAGATGAGAACAACAGCAGCAAATGTTGCAGATTCTTACTTGCATTCAGGCCAACAAGGAAGAGGATGACAAGATGAGAACAACAGCAGCAAATGTTGCAGCCCGAGCTGCTGTTGGGGGAGATGATGTAAGAGGATGACAAGATGAGAACAACAGCAGCAAATGTTGCAGCCCGAGCTGCTGTTGGGGGAGATGATGTACTCTTACTTGCATTCAGTATTCTTACTTGCATTCATTATTCTTCCTTTCTTAAATGGAATAGACCAGGTATACAATTTGGAGGTTTGAGTTTCAGGGGTTAGTAGAAGATTTGGGAGGAGCCCAGCAGCCATATCAGTCCAAAGTTGCACGAAATATTTCTCGAAAGGATATAACCTCTGTTTTGGAGAGGGAGCCTCAAATGTCGAAGTCTACTCTAATCTATCGCTTGTATGAGGAATTATCTGGTGACTCAGCTGTGGAAAAATTGTGTCGTATATGAAATGAAAATGTTTTGTTGCAGCTCTGCTGTTTGTATCTTATGTTGTATATATTCATGGATGTTGTAATCACTGAAATAGTTATGCAAGATCAACTACTCCCAGTGTTATCTGATGTTCCAAATCTTACTTTTATCCAATTTGATGATGTAATGATAGGGTTTCGGTGGAAGATTTATGTCTTGAGGAGCAAATGTGCATTTCAAATGGTTTTGATGCGTAAGAGATCGTCATGTACCATTGCAAATGACTTTGATATGTCGTTTCATTAACTTCAGTATGTAGTATAATATAATGGGCTATAGGACATGGCGAAGATTTCTCTCTTTTTTAATAAATATAGGAAGAAGTGGCTGAGATATGGGAGTATAAAATTAACACAACAACTCCTGTCTATCTTCGAACAGAGAGCATATGGGGTGTAAGCTTCACTGTCTTCAAATGTGTGTTCATACTAATATCAACTCCTGTAAGAAGCCAAAATATGCAAGGATTAAATATAAGAATTTCATCTCAATAAACTCACGCAAATAGCACTCCTCCCGAGCTCAATAAACAAACTACCACCAATGAACAAAGCAATAATGAGAAAACAATCAGAACCTCAGGCATACATGATCTGGGCTATTCATCAATTCTAAAACCAAAATAATCAGTAAAGAATAATTTCTAATTTATACAATCAGTTTCCTGACTATCTATCATTTCATCCCCGAATTTGTTGTTCATATAATGAATAGTTTTTAATCTTTATCATTCAAAATTCCCAGTTAGATCGTAAGCATTTTCTTCAATATGGTAAGGAGCTTCATTTACCACGGGCTGGCTTAGAAAAGCGAATACCAACCCAAGCAGCAGATGTAACCTTGAGGGAAGTAGCAAAATAAATAAATAAAAAGAAATAAATGGGGAAAGAAAAATTCTTCCTTTCTTATGAATAAGGCACATACACAAAATAGTACATAATCCAACCACTTAGTCCATAAAACCACAACATACAAATAAAACCGAACAACATCAATAAGTTCATACATCATCAAAGTTTACTTACATCAACAAGTCCATACAACCAAATTAGTCAAGAAACACCAAAATTAGTCCACACATTATCCTACAACTCGTTGCTCTTGAGCTCGAAAATACTTTTGTAAACTATCTCACACACTATCTCATTTGCTTCTTCTATAAACGAAAAACAAAAAGAAATTAATTAGTGATATTCTAAGAGAAACAAAATAATAAACAATATATGAAAAATATGTAAAATAAATGAACTAAATTTAACTTACCAACAATTGACAACCCGTCCTATAGTGACCCAATTGTTGACAATGACCACATTTTCGTTGTTTCACCTCCTTTTGCTCTTCTGATTCTTCAAAGCCACTTTTAATCCTAGTGGAATTTCTTGGACGTCCCTTTGGTTTTGCGGGTTCGAGAGGATCACGAACCGTAATCTCCTCACCATCTTTCAATACGATCACATTAGTATTTGAGTCAACTTCACTTCCAACTTGAGAATCCCGAGTTTGAACTATCTTGCCCCTTACTTCCTTTCCCGCTTCCGTAATGAAGTTTTTTATGAGTTGCTCTAACTTAGAAAGAAGATCATTTGAGCCCGCCGCCATATCAAATGCCTCATTGAAGTTTCCTCGTAAAGCCCATAATCTTATAATACTCTCCCGCTCCATGCTTTCTTCATTTTGTCGCGACTTCATAGCATCATCAAAGCCAAAATACCTATACCTTGCATCAATTTTCCATCTATGCATGATATACTTATCCGGAATAGAAGTTATTTGATTTAGCCATAAGATATATAAAATATGCTTACAAAGCACCCCTTCGGTTTCCCAAAATGCACAAGTGCATGCAACTTTAAGTTCTCCATTCTTTTCATAAGTTACATCTTCCCAATTTTTTCTTTCTTCAGAAAACTTGCCAACTGAATATACAACTTTTAACTCCTCCTTCGATGCTTCTTCATAATGTAAGGACATCACATCACCAAGCTCCTTTTGAAACATCTTCAACATCACCCTCGTGTATGCCCTTCCCACTTGTGCTTCAATTGGACTTGAGAAACTCATCACGGGCACAGTATTCAAAGTCATGAAGTCTTCATGAGATTCTGATCCACGACGAGTTGTGACTGCCTTGTCATATTGGCCAACAAACTCAACAAGATTAGTGTTTGCATTGACAAAGCCATCAAAAAAGGAGTTGATACTTTCACTCCTTTGGCTTGTTGTCATTCCCGCCCAAAAACAATCCTTCAAGTATGCATCCACCCAATGTTCACGTAACTTATACATTCTTGTTAGCCAACTATCTTCATCTTCTTCTATACCAAATTTCTCCTTCATGACTTTCCATAGCTCCTCACACTTGCTTATATTTCTAGCATAGTACCAACTATTGAAATATGTAGGCATCTCATCCCCGTATTTGCTCATCAACTTTACTTGTTGCTCGGCAATATGCTTTCTAATATGCCAAGAACAAAAACGATGACGAGTGTTCGGCAAAACTTCATTGATAGCCTTTCTCATCTGTGCATCTTGATCAGTTATGATAGCCTTTGGGGCAATCCCGTGCATACACTTGAGCCATTGAGAAAACAACCACATGAAGGTCCCCTCTTGTTCGTCCGCAAGCAATGCACAACCAAAGAGGACGGATTGTCGATGGTGGTTTACTCCCGTAAATGGAGCAAAAGGTAAACTCAAATGATTAGTCTTGTATGTAGTATCAAAGACTACCACATCTCCAAAACTCAAATAAGATGCTCTAGCTCTTCCATCGGCCCAGAACACACTCCTCATAATACCAAGATGATCGACCCCCATAGCGAAATAAAAATCTGGATATGATTCCCTCCTATCTTGAAAATGTCTAACAATAGTTAAGCATTCAGTGCCAATATTATTATGCCTTGTTGTTCTGATATGATCGATTACTTGTTGTGTGGTGACTCGTTCGTCATCTTCTCCCTTGTAAAAAACATTTACCACGCGATTAATAGTAGAGGGCTTCATTCCCTCTTCATGCAAGCTATCAATAAAGCTTCTACAAGTCTTTGATCGATGTCGTTGCTTGTGAGAATAATGATGTGCTACTTTGTCAGGACTTGTTAAAGCATGAACATGTTCTGCAATAAACTTAGTAACCTTCCACCTTTTTGAAGAAGTCAACCTAATCTTCATTTTTGCATCACAATTAATTCTAGTTTCCGGTCGGCGGTTGATAATTATTCCACTTTCATTTTCCCTCGGCACTTTTCTCCCTGCTTTGTTGCATACAAATGTTCTGGAAAGAATCTCCCCTGAAGCCTTCTTTGACTTCTCCAAAGTGTCTTTGCGAATTCCAAACCCAAATTTCTTTGCATAAGCATTGTAATAGTGGTATGCACCTTCGTCACTTATGAACTCCTTCCCTTCAAATGGAGTAATATCATCTAGTGGAATGCTAGTGTCTAAGATAGAGTCATCGGGTGCAATGTCCGTCATTTTAATATCTCTCGTTGCGCAATTCTGTGATAATTAAAAAAACATATGAATTCGTTAGCTTCAATTTAAAAAAGAATGCAAATCTCCACATCAAAATTATTTGCATACACTAACATATTTAAGAAGGTAACATGATTAAAATAAGAGGACATATATAATAAGTGTTCGTGGGAAAAATTGTGTCTTTCTTCATTGTTGATATCATTGCTATCTCAGTTAACAACTTTATGCGTTACAAAATGTTTTATTATTATTGTTTCTCTTTAGACATAATCACTAATTAATTTCTTTTTGTTTTTCGTTAATAGAAAGAAGCCAAATTGAGATAGTGTGTGAGATGTTTACAGAAAGTATTTTCGAGGCTCAGAGCAACGAGTTGTAGGATAATGTGTGACTAATTTTGTGTTTCTTGACGTAATTTGGTTGTATGGACTTGTTGATGTAAGTAAACTTTGATGATGTATGAAACTTATTGATGTGTTGGTTTTTCATTTGTATGTTGTGGTTTATGGACTAAGTGGTTGGATTAATGCTACTATTTTGTGTATGTGCCTTAATTACATAAGAAAGGAAGAATTTTCTTTCCCTCAAATTTTATTTGCTTTTTAATTTATCTTATTTTGGCTACTTCCCTCAAGGTTACATCGGGCTGGCTTGGGTTGGTATTTCGACTTTTCTAAGCAGCGCCGTGGTAAATGAGCTCCTTACACATATTGAAAGAAATGCTACGATCAACTGGGAATATTTGAATGATAACAGATTAAAAAACTATTCATTATATGAACAACAAATTCGGGATGAAAATGATAGATAGTCAGGAAACTGATTGTATAAATTAGAAATTATTCTTTACTGTATCTTTGGTTTAGAAATTTGGATTGAAAATAGCCAGATCATGTATGCCTGAGGTTCTGATTGTTTTCTTCAGTTAATTCGCTTGGTTCATTTGGTGGTAGTTTGGTTTACTTGAGGCTCGGGAGAGTGCTATTTTGGTGCAGTTTATTTGAGAATGAAATTCTTATATTTAATCCTTGCAATATTTTGGGCTTCTTACAGAGTGATATTAGTATGAAACACACATTTGAAGACAGTGACTACACTCCCATATGCGCTCTGTTCGAAGATAGACAGGAGTTGTTGTTGTTAATTTATAACTCCCATATCTCAGCCATCTTCTCCTATATTTATTAAAAAAGAAGAAAACTTCGCCAATGTCCTTATAGCCCATTATATTATACTAATACTGAAGTTAATGAAACGACATATCCAAAGTCATTTGCAATGGTACATGGACGGATCTCTTACGCATAAACCATTTGAAATGACATTTTGCTCCTCAAGACATAAATCTTCCACCGAAACCTATCAATTACATCATCAAATTGTTATAAAGTAAGATTTGGAACATCAGATAAACACATGGGAGTAGTTGATCTTGCAATAAACTATTCAGTGATTAACAAAATCCAATGAATATATTACAAATAAGATACAAACAGAGAGCTGCAACAAAACATTTTCATTTCATATACGACTACATATTTTCCACAGCTGAGTCACCAGATAATTCTCCATACAAGGCGATAGATTAGAAGTAGACTCGACATTTGAGGCTCCCTTCTGCACAAACAGAGTTATATCCTTTCGAGAAATATTTCGTGGCACTTTGGATCTGATATGGCTGCTGCCTCCTCCAATCTTCTACAAGGCCCTGAAACTCAAACCTCCAAATTGTATAACGCTGGTCTATTCATTTAGAAAGGAAGCATAATGAATGCAAGTAAGAATACTGAATGGCAAGTAAGAGTACAGTCTCTCCCCCAACAGCAGCTCGGGCTGGCCCAACATTTGCTGCTGTTGTTCTCATCTTGTCATTCTCTTCCTTGTTGGCCTGAATGCGCAAGTAAAGAATAACTGAAGAGGAAAGGGAATAAATTTTCCAAATAAGCACAAGTTTACTTCACATAATATTAGCTCGTTGTGGCCTTGATCAGGCCATTCATCCTGTCCTTGTCTACATCTGACCCATTGCCATCAGACTGCAAATTAAAAGAAAAAAGTATTAGCTTACAAATGCATAGAGCAGAATGACCTCAGGAAAGAGTTGTTAGATAAATATCTAAAAATTGATTTAGCCAGTTTTGAACTTAATAAACCTTATAAACGCTCAGGTAGTCAATCGACGGACGGCCGATGGAGGAGCGGCGGCGGAAGGAGGAGTCGGGGCAGAGGAAGAGTCAGGGTGCGGCGACAGAGGAGCGGCGACCGATGGAGGAGTCGGGCGTAGGCGCGGTGGCGGCGGAGGAGGAGTCAGGGACACGATGGAGAGGAACGGGCGAACCGATGAGGAGTCGGGCAAGAGGAGGGAGTCGGGGCTCGGCGGCAGAGGAGCGGTGGCTGTATGGAGGAGTCGGGCGGGCGGTGGAGGAGGAACGGCAAGCGGGAGGAGTCGTGGAGGCGAGGACGAGGAAGCCGTCGACGGCGGGCGGAGGAGGAGTGAGATGAGAGAGGAGAGGGAGGGAGAGAGACTGAGATTGAGGGGGAGGGAGTTCGAGAAGGGCCGTGTATTTGGGAGGAAGAGAAGAAGTGAGTTGTAGCCAACGTTTAGGCTCAAAGATGGGTTTATTTTGGCAAATTTTCCCTCTACCAACTTAATAGATCAAAATCAAATACGGCTCTAAAGCTCCACGCTCAACTACAGGAGATTGGGTATTGCTTGGTACCAAGCAAAAAACATTTTCCTTATATATATATATAATATATATATATATTATATATATATATATATAAATATATATATATATATATATATATTATATATATATATATATATATATTAATAAATATTATATATAATATATATTTATATTATATTATATATAATATATTATATATATATAATATATATATATATATATATATATAATATATGGTTAATATACATATTATATATAATATGTATATATATATTATATATAACTATATTATATATGTATATATATGGCTATATATATATGTATAATATACATATAATATATATATATATTCTATATATATAATATATATGTATATATATACATATATGTTATTATATGTATGTATATATATATATATATAATATAATATTATTATATATATATATATTTATAATATATATATATATATATATATATTATTATTATAATGTATATAATGTATATATATATATATGTATATATGTATATATGTATGTATATGTATATATATATACCAAAAAAATATATATATGTATGTATAATGTATATATATATAATATATATGTATATATATATATATTATATATATATATATATATATATATATATATATAATATTATAATATATAATATATATATATATTAAATATTTATATATATATATAATATATATATATATATATATCTTTTCTTTTCTTTTTTTCAAATTTTTTTCTATCTTTTTTTTTTCTTTTTCTTTTTACAAAACTGAACAAGAAACTCTAAAATGAGAGAAGATTTATTATGCTGAAATAAACAAAATTGTTAAAATCTAGAAGATAAGATGAATGTAGATATTACTTAAATATGGACAATTAATTAGATGACTCTTCATTAGCCCATGTCCTTTAGTCTTCTTATTATCCATCTATATAATGTATGTCATGGACTACAAAATAAATGAGAGAAATAAGAGTAAATAAATAACAATCAAAGAAGATTTAGACCCTTGTTAGCTGTTAGCCTGCTTATAGACTAGTGCTATTGCATTAAATGTTTAAATGTGATGTTGAATTTTCCAAATGCTATCAATGCAAGCAACGATTAAAGGATGTCAAATCTTTTATAAGTTTGAGATAGAGTCTCTCTTCTGGGTATACAAGTGTTATAGGACATGTGAATATTTCTAATTTCTCATGCACTAATCTTTCGTCCCCATGATTAGTGCACTGTGATATATGATAGTAATTATTACTTGACTTCGGCCTCGAACGTTCATTTTTACTGGACACCTTTGTGAATTTTGCATGATTATATATATTGATTCTTTAAGTATCTTTGCCTAGAAGCCAAACACTTTAAATTTTCTCTTTATCAATTAAGACGTGAAAAATTAATGACTCACTGAAAAGTATTCACTTTTCTGGACAATCCCTGAAGGGTCGCTTTGATCTATGGAAGCTAATAATCTTCCCTCAAACGTAACTGGCAGACTGAATCAGAACTTTTTAGATTTCAAATACATGACTAAATATGATTCAACCATGTGTCATATTGTCTAGCGGGTGAAGCTTGTAGAATTGTTCAAAAAGATTTTTTTTTTCTCATTCCATGCAAGTAGTATTGTACTCCAGTAGCAGTACATGGCCAAAAATGATTATACCAAGCATTTTGTTTTGATATCTACATTTAGAGTTATAGAGAATCACAACAAATTGTTGATGAGAAATCACAATGTTAGACTAGTTGGCTTACAAGTTGTGTTTGGAGCACATGCTATAATTCAGAAAATTACTTATACGCGTGGACAAGAGGGAGGCTATGAACATAGTAGGAGATATTATCCTATAGCGATTTTTGGATTTTAAACTCTCGAATGAATACAATTCAATAAGTAACCTTGTACTCTTACAGTAGTACAAATAAAAATGATATTAAGCATTATTGCTTAATGAACTAATCCTTGTATTAGTAGTTGTTAAAACACAACCAGCTGTTGTGAGAAACCATAATGCAAGATTAGTTGGTTCAGTCGTAGTGCCTGAAGCACATGTCATAATTCAAACTAATATTTATAAGCTTGGACGAGGGGGGGTAGTGGATCTTATCGAGGTGGTCAAGGTAAAATATTTGGTTTTTCTATATTTGGATTATATGCATTTGTCAGACAATTTTGATTTAACTTGAGTTTGCTTTATATATGCATTTGTCAGACAATTTTGATTTAACTTGAGTTTGCTTTAAACTCTTGTGAACCTATGTGGTTTTTATTTATACAACTTGAGTTTGCTTTAAACTCTTGTGAACCTATGTGGTTTTTATTTATACACTTTAGAATTTGTATGATCTAAAATACAACATGTTGCGATGATTTTTGAGATT